AGCAGAAGAGCTGTTTTCCTGTACACGAAGTTTAGCAGTCCTCGACTGCTGACACTTTTCACAAAGTCATGTATTCTTTGCTGCACGTAAAGGACTTAGAATCTGTCAGTCTGCTAACAGATAGATAGGGTACATTGCTCTTTCTAATACCGATGAGTAGTTATCACTCAGGCATGTAGTCTCAAAGAGTTACCAATGTGATGAAATAATTCACAGAAAATTTGAATCTCTCATCATAGAGGTCCATAGTCCTCTGGGAATTAATTTTATTACTAATGCTATTGGTGTGATTTCAAATATGCAATGTTTAGGGACTCTCTTTTCTTGATAGATCAGGCCTTCAGAGACCTTTTCTAAGTAACAGTCTGCCTTTTCTGTTGAAGTTTATAATTTTTCAGTTATTTGTCTTAAATCAAAGATTTGTCTTAACAGAACACAAACACTATCTATGAAGTACAAATGGAAGTTAATGATTTAAATTGCAGTTTCTTCAAATTATTGTTCTGAAAGGACATGTGTTATTTTAGGAAGGGAACGTCTGGTTTTATTTTCTTCTTCCAGGCAGTGAATGAATCCATAGCTCCATAATTCCCATTTTTAATGTACGCTGAGTGTACCAGAAACCACAGGATCCTAGTAGAGCATGACGCTGCCTTTCAGACTGCTTTGGGCTGATAACAAAAGAGTGCAAACGTGCCGTATTTCCGTGTTTCCTTCAGAGTAAGCATGTGTCTGCTTTTTGGGTTGCTCTTTTTTTTCCTTAGCTGGGGCAGATGTACTGTCATGTCGTTGCAGTGTTTTCCTTCCCTTTTTGTTTTCAGGAAGGTGCTCCCCTGCAATCTTCCCATAGAAAGAAGAAAATCATCTCTCTCTCAAGTGCTGCTAGGCGGAGAAAAAAAACTTAACCTAATTCAGGTGTAATTTTGAGCAGTGCCGCAGGCATAATGTGGATGAGGAAGGCACAAAACAGCAGTTGCAAGGAAAGAATAGAGATTCATATGCCCGGCTTGCTTTCAGGATGTTTGTGACCAGATTTTGCATAGTCACAGGAAGCTTATGTGAGAAACACTGAACAAGAGGATACTCTTCCATTCTCTACTAGGCAGCATAAGCAGTTTGCACCGGGCTTTTGGTCTGAGCGGGCATGAGCTTATGAATTGTGCTTTGTGACAAACAGGGTATGGCAGCATTGGTGTGGGGAAATAAATAGAGTGCTTCATCTGCTGCTCCTTCTGGCTAAGCATAATGAAATGTGAATGAAGTCCAGAAGTTTGGATCTGTGAGCAGTATTCTACTACAAAAGAACAGTCAATGTATTATCAAAAGCTTTAAGTAAAGTTTCCCATATAGATTTAGATGTTCACCCCGTACTGCTGTAACAGCAAACATCACAGTCTTGACTCTCTAATTCCTTAACATCACTTTACCAAGTACTGATGTTCCTATTTTCTAAATTTGGAAAGCGATGTTGGGGAGTGGACTCATCTTATAAAATGTGGGTATGCTACTCCTAAACTGGGTATTTAAGTTCCCGTCATAGTACAGAGGGGTCTAATCAATGACATCAACAGTTTGACTGATCTCATGAGTTGCATTAGTGGTGCTGAATTACACCATAAGATCGTTTGCCTGAGTAGTGAAACATCTGACAGCCGACTGAATTGCAGACACCAGCATTACTTACAGTTAAAGTCAGCTAAATAAATCCCAATATAAATGTCTGTCCAGGGTCAACCAGGAGTTCTGGGGAGGATCAAGGTGCTGATCACCTGTCTCCTGAGGCCCACTCTGAGAACTATAAACATCATTGTCATGATACCACCATTTGTGTTACGCTCATGAGATCACCCCAGACAGCAGTTTGACATTTAGGAAGAAAAGGCTGAGTTGGTGTCCAGAAGACAGTGACATTTATTTCCATCTGCTTTTAGCCAACCCTCTCTAAGGTACTAATTGCCTTTATTGTCATGCCAACCACTAGGCTGTGGTATGATTGCTTGCGATTTATTGTGTTTGTCAGAGTGCTCGGTGCTCTGTGCAACCTGAAACAAGGACTATTTCTATTTTAATTAATTTTTATCCTGGTTATCTGCTTCCTGCACAGATCTTATTCTGCCTTTTTTTCCCAAGATATACTGCACATAACATTGAGGAGAGATAATGAAATGGTTTGATTAACACTGTCATCAGACAACAATGTTGCTCTATTCCAGGGCACACAGATGTTCTTTGGTACTCAGGACAAAAAATGGGAATAGCAGTATATACATGCTCTGTATGTTGCAATGTAATGTAGTGAATTGAAGCTCTCTCTTCCCCTCTCAGCCAGGGGGCACAGGCCAAACCATTCTCCAGCTTCTTAACTCTGTCTTTTCTGACCATTACAAGTAGGAGGTTGGACCAGATGGTGGTGGAAACACCTGCACTTCATTGCAACCTGTCTAAACATAGATTATCACTGCTACTATCTATAAATGTAAAGATTTTTTTTCCTGTGGGGAAGCCTTAGGGGCCTTTCCTATCTTCATTTCTGAATTTATCATGTGAGATCAGCTGGAACACCTGGCTTTATAGACTTTATACACGTTTCCTCAGAGCAGTATCGGTTAAGGAGAACTTTGGATCTCATTCCCCTGTATTCTGAAGGGGCAAAAATGCTGTATTTGCTATGTAAGCTTGTGAAACCTGTTTGTTATTCACATGTGAAAGACACTCAGATGGGTGTTAACTAAAATGATTACAAATCAAGTACATGCAAGGATGTGACTTTTTTTTTCTTTTTTCTCTAAATTAATATTGCCAGTCGTCAGTCATGGTAGATCTCAGTGATGGGCAGCAGTGTCTGTCATGGCGAAATTACGATGTTTTAAAATACTGAATAATGGTTGCCCTTGGGATTTTGATAAATGCTGCAGTCTATATATAATAGCAGGTATACCACTAAATGTTGACATGCTGGTGCCTTCCCATTACCGCCCTAACACTGTACGAGCTTCCTCCCCATCACGAGGTATATGAAGTAGGACTTCGCTGTTCTTTGCTTTTACAGAGTGTATTTTTGACAGCAACTTTCGCCAATGATTTCTTTCTTAGAAACCCCAGAAAAAAAATCTGTGCTTCCTCACTCTTCACCATGACTTTATATTTTACACTGCAACAGGCTTTGAATGCTAGGGTACTTTTAATTATCTCATGGCACTCAGCTCATCAGTTAGCATTGGCACACCTTGTCTTCATTAACAAAGTTAGCATAATCTAGATTAAAGATAAGGTTAGGGTAAATCAGGGTCAGCAAAGGACAAATGGAACAATTTAACAAGACAGAGAGCTTTTTGGTAGTAAGTGATGATGCAGAAAGAATTTTTGGCTGATCTGGCTAATTGGCCTTAGTCTTCAGAGGAAAAAAAGAACAGCTGCAGTGTGTGTGTGTTCTGGAGGGAAAATACAAGCAATTGAGAGATGGGGTTTAAATTCACTGCCATAGCTTGAAATACTATTCCATTTTTGTGTAAATAGTGAGGATTTTATAGATAGCCTTTTTTCACCCATGATCCAACTGAAGAACATTGGTGTAGGTTCCAAAGTGAGGTAAATTGTGGTAAGTTATTTTGGCCAAGGATAAGTGAAGCTTGCCCAGACCACATATCCCTTTCATGAAGTGTAAAAGAGGTTACACTGAATAAATAGTTCTGCAGGTCAACAAGTAAGTTTTTCAATAGTAAAAAAAAAAATCTATCAGTAGATCCTGTAGAACCTAAATGTGAATTCTTATTTATAGAGTGTGCCAGACAAATCTTGACCTCTGCAATATATCTCAAAACACATATTCGCTATTTTTTTCTTTTCTTTCTATTATTTATGTATTTTTGTATAAAATGGATAGCCTTCTTCAAACTAATTCCAGAGGCAGCCAAGTATCATTCCATACAAGGAAAGCCCAGTCCAGATTTGCCGCCAACATTAGTTTTGATATGCAGCTTCTATTTTTCCTTTGATCTGTTGGGGTTTTTTTTCTTTTGAAAGTGCCTCATTGGCTACAAGTCTGGTTTTTGTGATTTTTCTGGCATCCCTTCAGAAGCTTTACCATTTCTGACGTACTTTCCCAAAATTCAAATGACAACTTTGCTTACTTTGCCATGAGTCTTGATCATTCCTTAAATCACAAACTGATAAATAGAGTGGAATGTGTTCAGAGTCAATTCAAATACAGGAAACCAGTATGAAAGGCCAAAGGCACCTGAGTAAAATTCATTTACGTGCTCAGATTGGAAATAGGCAGCTCGACACCTGGTGTGCTGCTGGGTCAGAACACAGTTGCAATAGTATGACCTTGTCCAAAACCCGATGACACCTCAGAGAGCCTTTCCGTTCACGTCAGCATCCTTCGAATGAGGTTCGCTGTCATTATCAGTCTACCTAACTTGAATGACAGATTTGCAGCACTGCAGAGAAATGAGTAATAATAGGTTGGTTTGATCTTTTAGGTAACTGTTTGCTGGACCAACCGAGAAAGCAGATCCTGGGCCCCGAGGAGCTTCCGGGACAAACCTACGATGCCATTCGTCAGTGCAAACTGGCGTTTGGACCCGAATACACGGTGTGTCCCGGTATGGATGTGTGCTCTCGCCTCTGGTGTGCAGTTGTGCGCCAAGGCCAGATGGTTTGTCTGACTAAGAAGCTGCCTGCTGTGGAGGGAACACCATGTGGAAAAGGGAGGATCTGCCTCCAGGGAAAATGTGTTGACAAAACCAAGAAGAAATACTACTCAGTAAGTTACCAGCTGTGACCCTAGGGAATTTTAGAAGGCATGATCCTCAAAGGCGCTGATTTTTGTGGGAGTGAAAGAGACTTTATGGAAGTCAGATTGAAAGCTGCCTTATTTTTTAGCATGTAATTGGAGTGTTATTGGTGAGGGATATAGGAAAAACGCTGCTGAGTTTTCTTCTTGAAGTATGAAAGCCTTCATTCCTGGAAAACTGGGAGAATCCTGTCAGAGTAGAGGATTTGCCCGTTCAGTAAGTTAGGTCTCAGGACATATGGAAAGATTGTCAAGGACTTATTCTTAGCTTCCTGAGTTCTTGGCAATGGACTGCGAGGTAAATTAAATCCGTAAATTTAATTTACAGCCCTCATCTGAAAGGCCCCAGGGCCTTAATTCTAGTGAAGAGAAAGGTGGATGAAGTTCATCCAGAATATAGTTTCTGGGGCAGAAAAGTTTGTACCTCCAGTGACAGAGTCCCCACTGTCAACTTTATACGTCTGAAGAGTCCCCAGGCTCGTGAGAACTGTCAACTGCACGGTTCAGATACTTCTAAATTTACTGGGTAGGCAGTAGCACTGCCCCTTCTGTTATACCCACAGAAGAGGTATGGACTTGTAGACCTTTGTGAAGATATTTGCAAACTATGAGACTCATTCAAATCAAGCTACAGCCCTTATAACACCCTTTTTTATGGAATTATATACTTCTACATACTGTTGCAATACTCTTTCTAGGTAACCAATTTAACAGAGTTGCAAACTGTATCTGACAACTCCATCTCTTGCCAGTAATTCAGAGCAATACGTACACATCACAATAATTGCATTTAATTAATCATAGATTAGCCTTATAGATTAGCCATATTCTGGGAGCTGAATCCCCTGGAGCTAGTTTAAGGGGTCCTATTGGTAGAAATAGCAAAAAATAAGAGAGGAGCACATGAGACCATGGGCCCTATTTCTGTTGCATGGGTGTCTTCCATGAAACAAGCTGAAGGCGGCTGTGCAGAGCAAGGCCTAGCATTGTCTTTGCATGCACAGTCCCAAATGAGATGTCATCAATGTGCAGGTAAAAGACAGAAATTAACTCTGCTGGGAGAAAGAAGGCTCCTAAGACCTGTTATCCCTGATTAAAATGACAAAGGAATCGCCTTCAATTGAGGAAAGCATGAGCAGTGTCTTTGAGATGTAGCACCTGTATTCACACTTGGATGATGTCCTTACCTCCTACTGTTCCACATATTTCAGGCTTCAAGCCATGGTAACTGGGGGTCCTGGGGACCTTGGGGACAGTGCTCCCGTACCTGTGGCGGAGGAGTTCAGTTTGCTTATCGTCACTGCAATAACCCAGCTCCTAGAAACAATGGCCGGTACTGCACCGGCAAGAGGGCCATCTATCGCTCCTGCAACGTTGCACCCTGCCCAGCAAATGGTAAGTGCCTTCATGCCAAAGTGCCTTCATGCTCCAGCCTCTCTGTTCATAGATAGTAAATATTGAACATCTACTGTGAAAGGAGAAACAACAAAGGTCCATTGTAGTTTCTCCAAAATGTATTTACCAAGGCAAGACATTCATCATTAATACAATACCATAATTCTTCCCCCATGCCCACCCTGATGCCATACAGAAAGGACACTTGAATAAAAAGAAATTTCAGTCCTGGAAAATGAACTGTAATGCAAACTTCAGTCCTTTAATGCTTATTATGTCATGGGAAGATTTCCAAGCTAAAACAGTTGAAAGATTTGAAGGCCAGTTCTAAGGAAAGAAGTGAAGTGACGTAACTTAAAAACTATGTAAAAAAGAAATTGGAATAATAGATGGGCATAATGATATTTGCAGCGTGGTCTGAAATAGTCACTAATGATGTGAATAATTCTACAGCTAAATCTTTTCGACAAGAGCAGTGTGAAGCAAGGAATGGCTATCAGTCTGACACAAAGGGTGTCAAGACATTTGTTGAATGGGTCCCCAAGTATGCTGGAGTACTTCCCGGAGACGTTTGCAAGCTCACCTGCCGAGCCAAAGGAACTGGCTATTATGTGGTATTTTCTCAGAAGGTAATGGCATCTCCAGTCATGATTTCATGCTCCAGTTTAGAAGTGTCCTGTATCTTAGAAATCTTAGAAGTTAATCATATGATTCAAAGATTTACCTGTGTGATTAGACTTAATGGTTTGATCCACTGGTTATACATTAGGACCAGAAGTGGCCTCTGAAATGAGATAAGTTTTTCCACATCTCAGTATGTGGATTCATGAAAAATATGGGCCTCTTAGTGCTCTCTGCGCTAGTTTGTTTTCAGTAGTGGATAAAGGGGTTTCTGCCTGGAGAGTCACCTGTTGTTCTGGGGTTTTCTAGAGGAGAAAGAGTACTATCAGTAAAAGAATAAGTTTTACCCTGAATTATGTTAAGGGAGTCCAGAGTAACTCTTAAGGAGCCAATTAATATAGAATAATTAGCCAATTAGTATAGATGTGACTTGTGGTCTGATTGTTATATCAGATGCAATTCGAACTGAAATGTCTCCCACGCTTATACTTGCAGTTTTCTGCCTCTAAATGTTATGAAGGTAACATTTAGATGTAGATAGCTCAAATGCAAGGCTATCTACAAGTACTGTTACTGTTATTGTTAAAAGGCTGTGAGATCATCATTAAAGCCAGGGTCATTTTAATGTCTTACATTGGAATTATCTGTCATTGCTTTCAGCCATTTGCTAAATTTCATGGGCAGGAGTGTCGATCTGCTCAAGGGT